ACTATCTTTCATTGAAAGGTTTTCGAAACTAGACGTGAGCCTTTGAAGTTTTGAGCGTTTAACAGAAGGAGTGCCCTCATGAATAGTTTGTAAGATATCCCAAGCCTCTTTTGCGACTTCACAATTGCAAATTCGACTAAACTCTTCAGGTGTGGCAGCGCAAAAGAGAGAATTGATAGCTTTACTAGTCTAGCTACTATTTTGGTAATAAATTGTGTCCCACGTATCAACAGCCTCTACCCGACCCCCACGAACTCCGCTCCGCACGCGAGGGCACGAATTGTAGTTCTAGCTACTACAGTTCAGACTCTTGTAACGGTTCTGAATCTAATCTCAGAAAGTGCAATGTAAGACTGATAAATCACCAAAGAGTCCAAATCCGGCAAATCGTTTTGGAAAATTGATTTTAATAAAGAAGTGCCAAACATGGACTGCTTTGCCAGATTTCAGAGTCGCCACCTAAATATTTTTATTTTGAGAAATTTAGGAAACCCTGACTCGTGCCTAAGGCCACGTGTCCGTCATCACCAAAGTTGCCTCGGCTTGGGAACTTGGGTATGAGAGGGAAAGGTCCTGATATGAGCACCCTCGCTCGCCCGATCAAAGGATCGGCCTCTACTAACATGATATGTTGTTTTTGAAAGCACATGCGTTCTTATTCCTATTAATAATCTATCATTACTACGTAATGCACACAGCACACAAGTGTAGACTCAATCACTCGAGTTGGAACAAAACATATCGTGTTTGTTTTTCGAAAATGGTTTGAAGATGCTACTCGCAAGTAGGCTAAGTCGCGGATTTGCCACCCTCAAGTGGGCTTAGAAAAATATGATTTTGCCACTCTCAAGTGGGCTTAAAACTCACATTTCGATGAATTGTTCCAATTCAAGCAATGAAGCCTTTATCCACAGACATTCATGCATTTAATCAATTAAGCAGTTAGCCTAATGGCAAGCATGCTAACATGGCAACATACACATCTCATGCAGTATGCTAAAGCGTAAAAGCTTATCTAGTACTCTGAGCCAAAACAGAAGCTAGTTAGTAATCAATGCATGACCCTAGCTATGTCAAAAATGCCTAATGCAACACATGCAAAAATGCAACTAGAATAGGCTCGGCTATTCTAAGATATCATGTGAATGCAACTTGATAACATGTATTCAAATTGGTATTGAAATACAACGCAGTTTGTATGATACGCCGAGCTCGGTGCATGCAAGACAAATGAATGATGCGTGCATGCAAAGCATAAGTATGGTAATTGAAACATGCCCTAAAACTAACCATCAAAAGCTGGTAAATAAAAGAGAGAAAGACGCGGGGTTGGAAGACATGCATCACACACACACACACACACACACTTATTACAAAATTCGCCATCTCAACGGAGGGTTCGAATAATAAGCTAACTAGCTAATCTAAGCTAATTAAACTAATTATTATAAAAACGAAACTAATTAACTAACAGGTTAACTAATTAGTTATTACAACACAAATTGATTAGCTAAGTGCATTAACTAATTAAGTACAAAACCAAAGCATTAGCTAGCTAAGCAAAGAAGCTAATTAAAGCAGTAAAGATAGGCCCCTAGGGCGAGAGGTGTATGCATGCTCGGTCGCCTCGTTCGAAAATCCATCGCTATGCCCCAACTTGCCTCTGTTTGCAATTGTTCTCAAGACACTGCACAAAGCTCCAGATAGCTTCTATTCCATCATGGGAACCTCCAGGAAGGCTGTATACCACTTGGTGGGGTTGCAAACCACCTAAGTTTGCTGTATACCAGAAAAAGTGGTCGGCCAGCCACTTTTACTGGTCTGCCGAGCAGAAAATGCTGCCCAACTCCAGTTTATTGCAATAGAGAACAATAAGGGGCACGACAATGTATTTGTAAGGTATGTGTGCACAACCACCCTCCCTATCATTTGTTAAGCCCAAGGGAGTGAAGTTCTCAACTCTCGGACCACCAACCGAGCATCGTAATGCACGATGGCCGAGAAGCCAAGATTGCACAATTCAATGTCAATGAATGCACAAATAACACATAAGGGCCTTAACCTCTATCATGCATGATCAAGAGGGTCGGCGACCGAGAAATGAGGCACGTTTCATCACTTCAAGTATGAAATGTCCCTCATTTCTCATATTTGGATTAACACCCAATCCAAACACATGCAATATAACATGATCAACTTAACAATGCTAATGGCATGCAAACAAGATGCAATGCATGCACATGCAAACAACATGCAATGCAACAAGCATGCAAACACAATGCAAACAACAACATTCAAACAACATGCTCAATGGACTTTGACTGAATATGGACAGACCTCAATCATGTCCAAAACAATGGCCAAAATGCTATGAAATGATGGCATGAAAAGCAAGATAATGCATGGACATGCATTGGCTCATCAACTAAGCATGATAGCATAGCTCTCAAACATGATTAAGAAGTGATAAACATGGAAGTGCGACAACACTATATGCATTGAAATATCATGTGAAATGATGTCATAGCAAGCAAACATCTCAAGTATGTAATACTATGGTGCTCAAAACTCAAGGCTAACAAGGCCAATTGCACTACAGCTATGCAATACATGAACCACATGGCCAAGACAACCCAAAATAGTCCCAGAGCATGTCAAATCAAGGCTAAAACATGCACAGAGTATAGCCAAAACAAGATAGCATGAAGGGCATGAAGCATGGAGTATGCAAGGCCAATAATGAGGATTACACTACACCTACCAAAATAAAGCATGAGATGACTTCACTAAAAAAAATCAGAGTTATAGCATGTCAAAATAACACAAAAAACTTGCTGAGATACGACCAAAACATGCTAGAAAGATGAGCCATCAACACAAGCATTTAAGGCTAGTTTGCAAGGATTACATTACAAGTGTATAGAGCATGCAAGGGTGGCCTAAACTAAGCCAAAATAGAGGTATGCCATACTGAAATAAGGTCAAAAATAGGCTGAGATGGAGCCAAAATATGCTAGATAAACATGCTCAAACATGAGGCCAAGAAGGCAAGCAACCAAGATACAAGGAGAGTGGATGACCCCCACCTATTTGGGACCTCAAAACACACTTTCCACCACTGAAATTCCTCTGAGTTTCAGTGGTGAGAAGGCCAAAAAGAGGTGGTCCCAATAGCTTAAAAGGATAGCTCAAAACAAGGCCAAACAAGGCACATAGGGGGGTAGATCACCCCCAACACCAAAGAGACCTTAAACAAACATTTCAAGCACTTAAAATTAGAACTTTTTTCAGTTGAAAGTTAAGCCTAAAACACCATGAAAATAGGGCCAAAAGCTTAATCAAAAACAAAGGTTTAAGGAGTTAGAAACTCACCCTTGAAGAACAACTTCAAAGCAGCAACTCCAGCAACCTTTTCGAGCTAAAAACCAACCCCTGAGTTCAAACATGACCCTGAGGTACCTCAGCAACAAGAGTGTGGTGTTTCACTATGTGTTTGTGTGCAAAAGTGTGAAGAAAAGGCACTTTCAAGCACAAATATGAGAGGGAGGGAGCAATATAGAGATAGAAGTGTATCTATAGCTCCAAGGAAAAATTCTCAACCTGAGACAAGAGGAAGGAGGTTCTCTTTTATAGAAAAACATGCAACAAGCTTGTTGAGCAAGCTTTAGGCTCCAAGCAATCCCTCCATACCCGTGTATAGAGGATGTCTTCTATGCCCAACAGTTGGCAAGAAAATATCTGTAGAAAACAGCAGGAAAGCCGCCGACCAGTTGAAATGGTCAGCCAGCTACTTGCACTGGTCGGCCGACCATAGAAAGTGGTCTGCAGGGAGACCAAGTGGTCGGCAAAGGAGGAGGAGTGGTTTGCACAAAGAAAGCAAAGTGGTGGCATGGCTGTCGATCGCTTTTGGTGGTCCAAAGACCACCAAGACCAGTTGGCCGATCAGAAAATTGGCTGGCAAGTAGGAAAAGTGGTTTTCAGGGAGAGAAACTAGTCTACAACCCCTATTCCACCCTCCAAGCAAGGAAAACAAGGTTTGTGCCAAAAACAAACCGAAAAGGATGAAAGACTAAAGTCCGTGGGACAAGGCGCGTAGCCGGAAGCCTCGAAAACTAGTCTACGGGTGCAGAAAGTGGTCTACGAGAGGAAGAGGTGGTCTACAGACCTCCGTGTCCTTCTAGACCAAGGCATGGTCTGAAAACCAGGCCGAAAGGAGGACGTTAAGCGGGTCCCGAGACAAGGCGTGCGGCGAAGGCTCTGAAAATCGAAAGCTAGTCTACAGGGGAGAAAAGTGGTCTATAGACCTCTCTCTCTCTCTCCAGGGAATGTCAACAAGGCATGGTCCACAAACCAAGTCAAAACACAAAGAGTTCAGAGGCCCGGAGGCAAGGCACTCAACCGAAAACTCCGGAAAGTCGAAACCAGCACAAACAAGCACAATCATCGAGCGCTCAAATGATGACGTCTGAGTCTTAAGGTCTGTCAAAAATGGGGGTCTACAATATCCTAACGAAATTAACTTTGAAACAAAAATTAAATTTCTACGGATGTCTGACACAAATAGACAATCTTCTAAAACTAGAGTCTTATTAAATGATAATTCCAAATAGAAAATTCCTATGGAAACTGCAACAACTGTTGCACTTGTTCCCAACTTTATTAGCATTTCCCCTTCATTAAGCCTTCTGGTCTCCTTGAAACCCTGCAACATATTGCAAATATGTGAGGTCTCACCCGAGTCTACACACCAAGCATTAGGAGGACCAATTAATACATTGGTTTCAATAACAAACAGATTTAACATACCTTTCGAAGGTTTGTCCTTTTCAATGTTGCCAAATAATGACGGTAGTTTCTCTTCCAATGGCCAGGCTTTCCAATATGGAAACAATTTCCATTTCTTTTCTTTTTATCTATGCCCTTTTTAAAAACACCTTGTGTTTTTCCAAAGAACTTAGAGCCCATAGATTCTTTATTAAAATTATTCTTGCCCTTAGGCTTTAATTTTCTAGGACTTCCTTCTCACTCATCATCATAGTGGGTTGGCTCTTTTTAATAAGATCCTCTGCTGCTTGCAACTTATTGAGCATCTTTGATGGTGCAACAATCATCTTATTCATATTGTAATTCAAAATAAACTGATTATAAGAATTTGGCAAAGATAAAAGTATCGAATCAATTTTAGTTTCACCATCAATATCTGCACCCAAAGTTTCTAGTATGTTAATGAAAGATATCATTTTTAGAACATGTTCACGTACTGGAGTACCTTCCACCATTTTGGTGGACATTTCATGGCAATTTGGCGTGTACTTTTGCTCTGTTCCCCAAACATTTCTTTCAAATTAACCATCATGTCTTTTGCGGTAGGAACACCCTCATGCTGCTTTTGCAACACATTGGTCACTGAGGCCAATATGTAGCATTTTGCAACATCGTCCGCCTCATGCCACTTCCTAGCAGCCTCACGTTGTTCATCAGTGGCATTTGCCTCAGGAAGCACAGGTGGATCAGTTGTTTGGACATGGTTCAGTTTTTCAGTAGTGAGGACAATTGTTAAACTTCTTTTCCAATCCACATAGTTTGATCCAGTCAAACGATTGTCATCAAGAATTTTTGACAAAGGATTAAAGTTGGTCATTTTTAACTGCACATGTTAAAAATTAAAGCACGTGTCAGAAGAATATAAGTACTGCATTGTATATAAATCCATAGGATGCGGGATTTTGAATCTATTATGGTAATGCTCACTAGAATTATTATTTAAACAAATTATAACCCCACAAATATAACCCTTATATTTAAAACATTCATAGTAAGCATTGGGAAACCAATCCTGTATGTACAAAACTTTTTTTTGAAATAAGTGCACATACCTTGAATGGGTGGGTAGCTACTATCCATCATAATATCATCTCGTGTTATTATTTTTCTTTTTCTTTTAGAAAAATTAAATTTATTTATGACTCCCAAAATTTCTTTTGGCTTCCAAATCAACTCATATGACACCTTTTGGTTATCATATAGTATTTGTCTAAGTGCAAACCATTATTTAGATATGTAGCATGAACATGTAAGATTATGCCTTCATTTTAACCGACACTCCCACTAGTCACACTCATACTTTTCACAAAATAAATAAAACAAACTAATTAATTAAAACCCAACTGACCCTTTTGGTATCATTTGAATCTCAATTAATCAGAATTTTTATTTACCAACAATAGAGGGCCATAGGCATTATTTTTCTTAAAATAATCCTATTTAACACTTCGTTATTAAAATGGGGTACCAATAACATTTATAACTAATTTATCCCCATAAATTAGCAAATTAATTTTCATGTTATCATAAGCAATATGAAAACCCACGACATATATATATATATATATATATAAACATGAATATGGTTACATGCCATAAATAGTAAAAATAATTTTTAGGAGAAAATCTACAAAGTTTTTTATCAACTGAACAACCTCCCACTAACTATGACATGTCTAAAGCATGATAAAACATTAATTCCACATGATAACATCTCAATGTAATTCACCAAAGAAAACATGTTAGAATATTTAATCATGGAATTAAAATTCATCAATATAAATAAGTCATGTTATTTAAAATAACAATATACTACAAGTTCTAATCATTTTAAAGATCTTAGCATGTTGTATACAATATTTAAATAATGCCACAACATATTTCTATAATTTCTGCAATTTTCTAGAATTATAAGTGATTAATAATTACACAGAAAATCAGAAATAAATATTACAGAATCTGAAAAATACAAAAATTATACCAGTAAAATAAAATAACATAGCAGTAGTCTACTGTAAAAATTTTAAGTCCAGAATTCAAGTCATGCTGCCCCAAGAGCAATTTAACGTAAAACTATTGAATTATTCATAAATAAAAAAATATATATTATTTTCCATAAAATTATGAAACTTTATTATCTTGTATAAAAATTAATTGCCTGTCCAATGGTATTAGCCAAGCTTCAATCAGAATTATAACAAATAATATAGAAGCAATTAATGTTTTTTATATTAAAACTCAAACAAGCAGGATCTTAACGGTCCCACGCCGCATCAGCACGTGGTAGAAGCGGATGACATCATCACGTGTGCCGGTGACGTCAGCGCATGGGTCAGCACCGGCCTCTTCTTCCTCAATGGCTCAAACTCTCACCCAAAACTAGGGTTTAAGTTTTCTCCTCAACCGTAAGTCGGAATAAGACCCATAATATATTATTTCGAAGGTTTCGAAAAAAGGATTTCAAATATATAATTTTCATAACATGAAAATGAAGCATGTAAAAACAACATATAGTCAAAGTTACAAAAAACAAATATAAATATCAATTTTTTTCTCAAAATCCGACCATTCGATTTTTTGAAAAACTTTGCAGATATGCTCTATATTATATGGACTACAACATATATAAAATTCAAGATGATTAGATATGGTACGAAAAATATCAATTTTTATGCACAAATCATATCTATATATTCATGTACAAATAACATAAAAACACCGAAGTGAAAAAAATAGGAATAATAATTTTCTTTAGACTAATCTAGCAAACAAAAAAAAAAAAAAAAGATTCGGTGCAAACTATTCAGCAATTAATTATATCAATTACAGACTGTTACCCTTTTTTTATTTTTTTTATTTTTACGAAATTGTAATCATTGATATGCACATGCCATCAACAATAAGCAATAATAAAATAATAATTCAATGTGAAAGTTTGCCTTTGGCCATATCCACCAATAAAAACAAAATGTGGGGTGCAACCTCATCACCGATTAAAAAGTAACCTAGTTCTTTTTTTTTTTTCTTCACTGTTTCGGTCCCTTTTCTTTTGTGATTAATACAAGAAAATATAAATCATATATTCACAAGTTATATAATCAACTATTATGCGAGACAACATTGAATATTCAATATTTTTATCAAACTATGAAAAACAAAATTATAGATTCATGCAATCAAAATGGTGTGGCTTTGATACCAATGAAAGTTTGTAGAAAAATAATTTATTTTGAGAAACAATTTTTCAAATAAATATCACTTGATTACATAATCTAAAATACCTTAATCCAAACATTTGATAATTCCTCACAAAGCGATCCAAGTGTCTCACCTCCAAAGTGGTTCACCTTGCACCCTCTTACTTTTATTTTTTGTGAATATTTTTCTACAGACCTTAAAAATTTTGATGGCCAATTTTTTGTATCAAATACATCTAATATATATACACAACACATGATAGAGTTTGCATGTAGGTGGGATCCTTAGGGATTTCTATCTTTTAGTTTGTGGGGATAAAATAAAAAATGTATCTTTTATCTTAAATATGCAGGATACAACTTATCCAATTTTTCATTAATTATCTTTTAAATAGATAATATAGAACTTCCACTAATTGCAATAATGTCCATCAACACATTACAATTAAACCCCTAAAAGTAGAGAATTATAAGTGAGGCCCTTTCTTACAATTAGTCACAAAGTTCCTTCCACCAAACTATATTCCACATGAGCTACTAGGTATGGACAAATTTATCACTATCAAAAAACCCCAACTTATGTAACCCAATTCTAAATTTTCCCTTTTTCTAATTGGACCCCAAAAGCATTTTTCAAAAATAGTACTTTGGTAATTATATATGTATAGAAATATTTTTATGAAAAAGTAACCGGCCGGCTTTCTTTTGGTCCAACGTTAATAGGAAAAATTGCTTGAATATACTTTCTCACTTTGAGAATGGTGGATTCCATATTAAGTACACATATAAATCAATTACCACTCACATAACCCGACATGTCCATGTATAGCCTTTGGTTCGGCGTCACCAATTGACAATATGAAAGTTAAATGAATAGTTAATTAATTTATACAAGCCTCTCAGGTCAAAGGAAAATAAGTGTATTGTAATAGAACTGCCTTTTAAACTGACAGTGATCATTCCATAGGTGTTCTCAAAACCGATCCTGTTCAGTGCATGTAACACTCACTTATTTGCTTAAGGTCACTACCTCAATGATGGAGTTAATCATTCTATCATATAGCAGCAAAACAGGTGTAGGCCATAGCAGTGTGACACCCAATCAACACCTATAGCCTAGAACATTAATTGGGTCTACAAGGCACCGAAAAATCATAACTCCTAACTTTTGATTTATTAACCATTAGCTTGTTTTTCTACAATGTTACCCAAGGGACCTTATGTTCACATCATATGTAACACTAAATATAACATTACCCATAATAATATACAAAATGAAAAATAAAATGCCAAGCAATTTTATATAATCAATTAATAAATTCAATAAATTGGTTTTTGAGGGCACAAATGCTAACAAATTTCAAGTTCAGTAATTAATGCTATAAACACTAACAAATATACTAACTAAGAGAAATTTATACATAGGTCTTACCTTTTGGCATGGGAGTAGTCATCTAAGCAATTCCAATGTTACTCTTCATTTTTCACTAGTTATGTAAAAAAATATTTCTTTTGTCTTTTTTTAACTTTACCTAATTAATTTTTTCATCTATGTGCTCCAACACTATAATTTATTTTATATATTTATCCACACAAATTAATTAAAAAACCTTCTTAAATAATCTTGTTAAAATAACTATTGGGGTAGTTAACTCCCTAGAGAGTAAAAGAAATGATGAGATTAGCTATAGTAGCTAACATGCTTCTTTTAAAGAGTCTGTTGAGCTACTTGAACATGTTGTTAGCTACTTATTGTTGGGCAGTTTAGTTAGTTTTATACACTTTTTAGGTTTTTAAGAGTATCTGTCTCCAACATACTAAATATATACTGCCTCTTAGAGCACAACTCCAACCATGATATTAATTTTTTGCCTGCTAAATGTAAAAAATGCAATTTTTATTTTAGATAATCATTTTACCTAGTCATTACTCCAACGCTACTCTCTATCTAGCTCTCTATCCAAATAATTTATGATTAATAGTGTTTTATGATATGCCACATTAGCGTTCGGGATGAATGGAAAGAAGACATAATATTTCTTAGAATTTGAATAGCCTTCAATAACTATTTAAATGTAAAGAGCAACAAAAGGTGAAGTTAAATTAACTTAACATTTAGAGAGTCTAATTTGGATGAGATGAGCTACAACATGTCCCGGCAGCTGGGCATACAGTTGATTGGCCTCACACACTGCGTGTTCTATTTCCCCTTCCAGTTCAGACGCTAGTTTGGTCATGATCAGACATGTCTAGATGAGGAGATGGAATACTCGGCTTCATTTCCCATTCATGGTTCACACTTGCCTCGATACCTTACTGGTTGGAGGGCAAGGGAGCTTCTGGCCCCTGCCTCTAGCTTCAGTTACACCCTTCATGACAAGTGTTTAGCTTGGCTTGAAGATGAAGAACAAGTTGGGCCATCTTTAGCTGCGAAAAGTTCCACGAGTGCAAGTAAGAGACATAGAGCTACCTGACTTAGCTGTGCCCCTAGTTTTACTGCTTGAATCTTTGTTTTCAAGTTTTATGATGTAAAAACAGCTTTGTTAAATCAAAGAGTTGGAGAATGTACTTGTGTTGAAATCAATGTAATTAAAGTTGCAAGAATTGAAATTTTCCTTTTGTTCCAAAAAATGGTCAAAGTTGTAAAAGGGTAAAATTTTGAGAAAAATCAGCTTTTAGTAAAACTTTTCAAAACTGTTTGTGTGTGTGTGTGCGTGTGGAAATGATTACCACCTGACACGTATAGAATCAACCCTCGAAATATACAGTCCCGAATCAACAAATCACAACTACCCATAACTGTAATGGCCACACTGGCACTTCTACCGACATGAAGACCACACAATCAAGCTAACCGGTAATGGAGAAAGATGACTTGATCAAATATGAACGAATATGACAGTTGTGTTAGAGATGGTTACAGCCGAACTTTAGGATGAAGTTGCCTACTTATCCCAAAGAGGGGAATCGGGCCTTATGTTTTGCCAAAGTCGCCCTTTAGGGTTTTCAATCTTGCGAGCTCAGTTTTTCTTTATTTCTAATTTTTTTTTATGCTCTAACTTTTGCTTAGGTCGCCCTTTCGGGTTTTCAGCCTAGCGAGCCTCTCAAGGGTAATATTTCTTCAAATTGTCCATATTGATCGGTTGTGAGAATTCTAGACCATCTAGATCTATAAGTATAACTGCTCCCCCAAACCAGATTGTCTTGATAATAGAGGGAACAGTCCAATTAGGTCGGAATTTGCCCCTAGGGTCGTGGATGGGGGCTCGGTGGTCCTTCAGCACCATGTCCCCTTCTTTAAGGTTTCTGGACTTAACTTTCTTGTTAAAAGCCCTGACAATTCGGCATTGGTAACCCTGGACATGATACAGAGCCTTCAGCCTTCTCTCATCAAACAACATTAATTCCTCAAATCTGTTTTGTTGCTAGTCCGCCTCCGCTATCTGACACTCAGCCATAACTCATAGCGATGGGAATTTAATTTTGATTGGCAGAACAACCTTCATCCCATAGATGAGAGAATAAGGGGTTGCCACTGTAGATGTCCGAATCGACGTTCTATAACCCCAAAGTGCAAACGACAATTTCTCCGGCCAGTACTTGTAGGTTTCCACCATCTTTTGCAGAATTCTCTTGATATTTTTGTTGGCGGCCTTGACAGTTCCATTGGTTTGTGGCCTGTAGGTTGATGACTTATGGAAAGCCACGTTATATTTCTCAAGCAGATCCAGCACCTCTTTCTTAAAATGCGACCCATTATCGGAGATAATCTCATTCAGAACCCCATACCCACATATGATGTTGTTCTTGATAAACTTAGCCACATGTGACGCCTTTAGCATAGAGTAGGACCGGGCCTCCACTCATTTAGTGAAGTAATCGATCGCTACCAAGATGAATTCATGTCCATTTGACCCATTTGGCGTAACTGCACTGATAACATCTATCCCCCAAACAGAGAACGGTCATGGTGAAGTCATGTTGTAGAGCTTCGATGGTGGAATGTTCATGCGATTGGTACGAATCTGACATTTATGGCATCACTGCACAAAACTAATACAATCCTCTTCCATGGTTAACCAGTAGTAGCCTTGACTACGGATTTTTCGGGTGAGCATCACACCGTTCATGTGGGCCCCGCACTCTCCTCTGTGGATGGCCTCCATAAGGCGCTTTGATTCCTCTTCCTCAACATACAGTTTATGCATTCCCAAATGGCCTCTTTTGTACAACTTGCCTCCGTAGATGATAAATTGGATGGCCAGACGCCGTATTCCCCTTTTATCCTTGGTGTTTTCCCCTGGCATCACCTCCTTTTCCTGGAAATTCCAAATATCGTAGTACCAGGTGTTCTTGTCTGAAGCCTCATCTATCGTGGCAATGGTTTCATAGGCTGGCATGTACTTTTGTTCAATAATGATCAGATACATGCTAACTCCCAAAGAAATGTCCACCATAGAAGATAGAGTCGCTAGTATATCAGCAAATTGGTTGTTCTTCCTTAGCAGGTGGGTAAACGTTAGCTTTTCAAACCTCAGAATTAGCATATCCAAGGCCTGATAATAAACCTTCATTTTCTCCTCTTTAACCCGCCAATCTCCGTTGGCTTGAGACACAACCAAGTTCGAATCCCTGATGACGTCCAACCTTTTTGCCCCTAGTTCCAGGGCAACTTCTAAACCAGCAATACACGCCTCATACTCTGCTTTGTTATTGGATATTTTGAATCGGAGTTTGAAGGCTAAAGGTATATGGGAGTCATCGGGTCCTATTAGCAACACGTCGATCCCATAAATCGTATTGATTAGACGCTCTGTCAAAGTACATTGTCTACATTTCCTCCTTTATTTGCAGAATATCTTCATCTTTGAAAAAGTACTCAACCGCTTCATCCCCCTCCACCAGATGGTCTGCAAGGAATTCCGCCACAGCTCTCCCTTTAACTGACTTGCGTGTAACATATTTGAGATCAAATTTAGAGAGAAGAAGCAACCAACGGGCTAGCCTACCCATAAGCGCTGGTTTCTCGAAGAGATATTTAATGGGATCTAATCTAAAAACCTGAATTACCGAGTGAGCTAACAGGTGGTGCCTCAACTTCCGAGTAGCCCATACCAAGGCTAGGCAAGCTTTCTCGAGGGGAGTGTAATGAGTCTCATAATCCAGCATTTTCTTGCTTAAGTAGTAAATGTCTTTTTCCACCTTGGCCTCCGACTCCTGCGCCAACATACACCCTATGGTTAAGTTCGTCACTGAGAGGTACAAAATCAGCGATTTTCTCGACTCTGCCAGTGATAACACAGACGGATTCTACAGGTACTACTTGACCTGTTCAAAAGCAAACTGACAGCGATCATCCCATTAGATTTCTTTCCTTTCTTCAAGAGACCAAATAATGGTTCACAAGTCAAGGTTAATTTGGAAATAAACCATCTTATGAATTGCACTTTACCCAGAAAGCCACGCACCTCCTTTTTAGTCCTCAGTGGTGGCATTTCGAAGATGACCTTGATTTTGAAAGGATCTACCTCAATTCCTCTCTGTGTGATCAGAAATCCCAGTATTTTTCTTGTTATTACCCCAAAAGTACATTTCTGCGAGTTCAACCTCAATCTATACTCTCTGATCCGTTGAAAGAATTTCTCTAGTGCGGTGTAGTGGCCCTCTCAATCTTTGGACTTGACAATCATATCGTCCACATACACCTCAACCTCTTTGTGGATCATGTCGTGCAAAATGGTGGTTGCAGCCCTTTGATAAGTGGCCCCAGCATTCTTCAACCCAAATGGCATAACTTGATAGCAATAGGTACCCCACGAAGTAGTGAAAGTAGTCTTCTCCCTATCCTCAGGTGCCATCAGAATCTGGTTATACCCGGAAAATCCATCCATGAACGAGAGCAATGCATGGCCCGCGGGGAAGTTTACGAACTCGTGAATATGCGACAGTGGAAAATCGTCCTTCGAACTAGCCTTGTTCATATCCCTGAAGTCGACACAGACCTTGATTCTGCCATCCTTTTTTGGAACTGGAACAATGTTGGCCACCTACGTTGGATACTCAGATACAAGCAAGAACCCTGCCTCGACCTGTTTGGTAACTTCTTCCTTTATCTTCAAAGCCTAATTTGGACGAACTCTGTGCAGCTTTTGCTTAACTGGTCGAGCCTTAGGGTCAAGAGGGATCCGGTGCTGTACAATCTCAGATCGATTCCAGGCATGTCTTCGTAGGACCACGCGAAAACATCTTTGAAATTTTTTAATAAAGCGATTAAACGCACGCGTTCCTCCGAAGACAACGTGGATCTGATCTGGACCAAGCGAGGATCTTCCTCAGTACCCACTTAATAGCAATGATTTCATTCGTACAAGGTTTAATACGCCTCTTCTTTTCATGATCAACCAAAATTTTCAAAACCCGAGGAGTTTCTTCCTCTTCATTTAAGTCAAAATTTTGAAAATCAAGATCAGTACAACAAACCAAAGGCACAAAAAAATAGGCAAAGTTCACAACATTCCCATTCAAAAAGTCTGGATCCTTGGTTACAGTGGACTCCAAAGAAAAGCTAAAAGATGACCTGGACAGGACTTTGGTATCCGGGTTACCACTCCCAGAAGTACCAGACTCAAAGGAACTCAAATCTGACTCCGACTCTACAGACTCAATGGAATTAGATTCGGAGTCACTATCTGATCCATAACTGCCTATGACGCGTTGCTCAAACTTCTAGACCAGACGTGGAGCCTCAGACGCATCCACGATAAGATTAGAGAAATCCACTGTTGGGTTATCCCCGATCATTGAGATAGTAAAACTATCCCCCAAGTTGATAGACTCTGCTTCAGCAGTAGAACTTGCCAGTAGGTCAGCCAGTGCTTTTCCCAACAGCTCTTCCTCTTTAATGTCCATGCTTGTAGTCCCGCCTTGATCTGTGCTAGGGCTCAGGTCTGCTTGTTCATCCGAAGAAGATCTCAAACCCCGGATACCTTGTTTTTGTTTCCTTGTCAAACCAAGGTTCTAGGAATCCACAAAAGGGGAAGTCTTCGCCTTGGCAGAAAAAACGTCCGTTCAAGGTCCCCTGAATTGGTTTGTGGACTAACTCATACTGCTTTCCATCCCTCTTTGCTTTCAGCCTTTCTCTCAACTCCTGCCTTTTTCTTTGTCAATCTGCAGTGGTAGGTTTGTATCCCAACCCGAAAGCGTAGGGGTTGTGACTGATCTCCTTAGCGATAGTGCCCCTTTGCCTACCACTTTGGCCTAGTCTTGATCCAGGCATATGCCCCTGTTTGTTCATCATGTAGATGGATTGTACACTCACGTAGTTCCCATTGCCCTCTACCATGATGGTTTAGAGCAGCCAGGCTTTTGCTAGAGAGAAACCAGAAAGGAACACATCCTCCTCCCCATGTATGATTTCCAATAATGGCGCAGTGGTTCCCTGGGGAGGATAGATCGCAGAATTACCGTACGTAGTGGCAATCCCACCTTTGAAGGGGTACTTCACTAACTGATAGACTGTTGATGATACAGCCCTTATCTGATGTAACCAGGGCCTTCCCATTAATATATTAAAAGTGGTCAGAACATCCATGACATGGAATTCCACCTCATGTTCGGATGGGCCGATTAGGATATGGCTCTTGAACGTTCCCATAACATCCCGGTTTATATTGTCATAAGCCCAGATGACCTGAGTCATAGGTGTAAAGCCAACCGGCCTCAAACCGATGGCATAGGCCCTCCTCACTGGACTTATATTGATCGCCGATCCGGTATCTACTAACACCACTAGAATCCTCTTTTTCTGACTTTCCAAGGTTACATATAAGGGTCGGTTGTGGTTGGCACCCTCAGGTGGTAACTCCTTATCTGTAAAAGATATTACCGGCGTAACGTCACTAGATATAACCAACGATACCAATTGGTTAGCAGCGGTGTCGATAGACAGTTCGGTCCAGTTCATTGCCTCTAAAAGTGCTTGCCTATGCTCCCGAGAAGCCATTATCGGCCCCCAAATTGATATATCTGCCTAAATTTTCTTGAGCTGTTTCAAGACCAAGTTTTCATCAACACCCTTCTCCTTTGCTCTTTCAACCTCCTTGTCACATGCCAATTCACACTCGGCTTTTTGTTCAACTGGTTCTATGGCCGATTAGTCTATCCGGCTTCGGGATCGTACAAGACAGAGCCGAATATAATATACATCCTGATTTGCTAAGTGGATATTTGGCTATTCTGCATCTAGCGATATTCGGCTCCCACAATTTTTTTTTCATTTTTTTTAAATTTAAAAATTGAAGCATTGTATAGGTTTTTGGTGGATAAGGAGAATAGGGCAAAGATTAATGGTCCGGGGAAAATCGTAACCTATTAGGGGGCTGTGGTGATAATATAAAAATGGTCCCTATTGAGAAATAGGGATAGGGAGAGGGATGGAGAAGAAAAATTAAAAATAGGGATCGGAAACGAAGGGTGTAAAGCTCATCCCAATGCCATTTCTGTTCTTTTTTTCTCGTTTTTTTAGAGAGTTTCACACCACCACCATCTACCGCCACTGTCGCCACACCACTACTATCACCATGCCGTTCACTCACCATCATCGCTGTCATTGTTTGTCTGCTATCACCGCTATCACCATTTGGTTGCCACCACTATTCACCAATTACCATTATTGTCGATCTGTACTCTACCGTCACCAATCAACACACCACCACCTTCCTCTATTGTCATCAACGTCTCATACTTCTTACCATCATCTTCTTCCGTTGTTTTCATCATTGGTGACTTTCAAATCTAGCCATTTTCAACTTTGATCTTCATTGGTGACTTCAAATCTGGCTATTTTTACATGCCAATTTGATCATGACATGGTTGTCGAAACTCCTACCAATGAGATCGAGTCTCTCTCTCTATATATATGTTTTTGTGTATTGATGGATCTCCATCAATCTGTTTGTAAATATCTAGTTAAACAAGATCAGTTATTTGTAAATTTCGTATATTAATGAATAAGTTTACAATGATAAATTTATCAGTATTATTATTATTATTATTATTATTATTATTATTATTATTATTATGTTTAAGTGTATTAGTATGTTCCTATCAATAAATAAGTGAGTATGAGTGTAAGAGTGAGATGTTGTGATTGATTAAATAGTTTGAAAAAAATTGATGAGTGCTATTAGTAATAAATTTATCACTGATATTTATTATATTCCTCATGCTTCTCCCTTTCTCTTGTCATTGGCCACCAAATTTGAGGAGGTGGTGGGAGCAGCGAGTAGTGAAGAATGATGTTGTTTTTGCTGAAAAAATGGTTGGATAATTGTCAAAAATCATTATCATAAAAATTTTGCTAGATGTCAAAGATGGCAGCAAGAGATTCGCTGACAATCAAAGATGGTGGGCAGAGATGGTTATCAGTGATCGGAATCACCAACCGGACATGGTTGCTGATAAATTGGAGATGAAGAAAGAGATGATATTTCGGGTATATTGACAGCTAAAAAAAAAAACAAGGTTTATAGGTAAATAAATCTAGTCAAATAAATCTAGTCAATATGACTGATCCGTAAGTGCCCCATATATTAACTAGTACATTGTGGGGTGTATAGCTTGAATAAATTTAGACCACAAGTTAAGATTCTTGATAAAATTTTAGGGAAAAAAAATCTAGGACTATAGAATTTGTATACAAAAAATTTATACAAAACAGTGAAACAATCCACAAGCCATGATGCAACCACATCCCTGACCTCAACTATGCATCAAAACAGTGAAACACGCATGCATGAAGCCGTGAGTTACACGTCCAGCTGCAAGATCCACAAGACCAACAATGTCGGTGAATATGACCGACGCCGGACAGATAACGGCCATGTAGCTACACCCCATAGCAAACCGAAATCACACAACTAACACCTATAGGGTCCAAGAAACACCACCGGTGTAGCACATAAACCCACAACGCCGTGAACAGAGCCAACATACGCGACCCACCACCGACGATACAATCCATACCATAACAATCTTGGAGCCAAATCAGCACATCACGACCACCGTAAGTGCTGGACGCACAGGCCCATGCCCAAAGGCAATCAGAACATCGCATAAACAACCAGAAATGGCACACTATCGACGTAACCAGAGACGACCACAAGCAGAAATGGCACACAACCGACAAAATCAACGACGATCACCACCTCGAAACTGTAGGCCCCCACGGCAGCCAACCAGACCCACACCACCGAAAACCAGAGTGACCATTGCCACCACAAAATGGTGGCTTCATCTTTATTGCAGACCAGGACCAATGTTCCAAAGCTACTATCTGAATTGGTAGCATGAACAGTACACACCACGACAAAGTTCGTGACCAACTTTGACCAGCAAACACAAACAAACAACTAGCAAATTGAAAAAAAAAATTCAACCAGAGCTCATCAGCCCAGGTTTCACCCCTTTTACACCATCCACATCCAACACCTCCGGTGACCCCAAACCGTGGACGACAAACCTATGAAATCAAGTAGAGCCTAGCCTTGCTGAATTGAGAGTCATCCCACCTTGTCGAACCATTGATGACCAACTGGTGGTGACCCAACATAGAACCATGATGCAACGGCATGAACACCCACATGGTCTCCCGAGTTTAACACGCCAGCTTTAGGCAACACCCTAAACCAGCCATGATAGCCGGACTGGATTTCAGACATGTCGAACTTTCATAAAACCGAACCTTGATGCAAAGGCAGAGAGTAAGAAACAATCCACCTCTCAGCTAGGCTAAACATACCTGGAACCATGCTCACTCACACTCAGATTAGTGAGTGCAGGAGCTAACCAACTAGTCGGACCAGCACTAGAATGACATTACCACTGAGGGGGAGCTTTCTTCCCTCTTAGTTTGAGTTAAGCTTATCGATAAGGGAGTTGCTTTCAACTATATGAGAAATTGTGCATTTAGCCTATGGAAAAACAAAGGGCTTAAGGAAGTTCTGGCTAATGGGGAGGGGTTCATAATCTTTATCTTTGAAAGCCCTAATTGCCTCAGTGAAGTCCTTAAAGGGGGGCCATGGTATATGGGGGGTTTCCACTTAATCCTCTAGAAATGGACTCGGATGATGAAACTAACTAAAGATAAAATCCAAAAAGTCCCAGTTTGGGTTAAGTTCTTTAATGTCCTAATGGAGTATCGGGACATTGATAGTTTGAGTATGATAGCAAGTGTGGTTGGAGTCCCATTATTCATGGATCATCTCACTGATAAGGGTACTAGTGTCTCTTTTGCTAGAATATGTGTGGAATTGGATGCTAGTGCTAAACAACCTCCTTCATTCATAGTCTACTGTGGAGAAGAGCAATATGGCGCTCTGGCGACACTTTTGGTACGAGCTTAGAATTGTCTCAAATTTGGCAGTCTGATCAGAAAAGGCAATTTTGCAGCACTTTTGGGACGAGCTTTGAATTTGTCTCAAATTTGTCTGTCTGAATTGAAATGGCATTTTCGCGACCCTTTTGGGACCAGCTCAGAATGGTCTCAAATTTGACAGTCTGATCGGAAATGGTGTTTTGGCGACAATTTTGGAACGAGCTTGGAATTGCCTCGAATTTGAAAGTCTAATCAGAAATGGTGGTTAGGAGACACTTTTGGGACGAGCTCGGAATTGTCTCAAATTTTGTAAAACGGCATTTTCACGACACTTTTGGAAAGAGCTCAAAGTTGTCTAGAATTTGGGAGTCTAATAGGAAACGGCGTTTTAGCGACACTTTTGGGACAAGCTCGGAATTGTCTCAAATTTGGCAGTCCAATTTGAAACGACATTTTAGGGACACTTTAAGGACGAGCTTGGATTTTGTCTCAAATTCAGGAGTCTAATCGGAAAGGCCATTATATCGACACTTTT